TGTGCAATTGTAACTCCTCCAGAGCAAGAGAATGACTGTAATGAACTCGAGGATGGAAACGATTAAAACAGAGGGCCGCAAACCTCTGCTGGATGCGTTCCAGCTTGTTGGCATCAGTTGACGTAATCGAATTCCAGACCACGGACGCATATTCAAGCTTAGATCTAATTAAAACAGTGTACAATCTGAACATACAGTCTACAGATGAGAAATTGAAAGTAATGTTACGAACTAGACCCAACAGTTTAACACAGTGAGAGAAAATGTAACTGACCTGGTCATAGAATTATAGTTTAACATCAATAAACACTCCCAGGTCTTTTATAGAATCGGGCCGGGCTATGGACGATTGACAAAGTTTACGATCGTAGATCAGTACAATGGTTTTCCTGGAGAAGCTTATTACACTTTAGTTTCACTGATGTTGAGTTTCATACAGGTAGCAATGCACCAACCTTGTAAGTTAATGCCAGACTGAAGTAGATAGCAGTCCTGAGGAGAATTAACAGTTCGGTAAATTTTGGTATCGTCAGCAAATAGTAGACAGTAGTAGTAGAGTGGGCAACTGCAACGCATATGTCATTAATAAACACATTGAAGAGAAGGGATTCCAAGACAGATCCCTGAGGAACACCGGAGGAAAGAACATCAGAAACGCGGATCTGAGATTTCCGGTTGGATAGGTAACTACGAAACCAGCTTACATATCCACCAGAAAGCCCAATATCACTAAGCTTATGCAGAAGAAGAGAATGTGAGACGAGGTCGAACGCATTGCTCAGATCAAAATAAATGTCATCAGCTTGTCACTGAAAGCCGACTATAGGGGAAGTAAAATCAACGTTAAGTTACCGAATTGGTGCTTGTGGATTTTTTTTTCCTTGGCACTACAGCCCCAGTGGGCCTAGGCCTACTTCCATGAACTTCTCCGTTCACTTCGGTTTTTCTAGATCTTACACGTTCGGTAGGACTCCTTGGGCGGGTGATCAGCTCGTCGAAAGGCCTCTGCCTGTACACAAACAGAAAAACGCACACAAACATCCATGCCCTGAGTGGGATTCGAACCCACGATCCTGGCATCCGAGCGAGCGAAGACAGTGCATGCCTTAGACCGCTCGGCTACCGTGACCGGTGCTTGTGGAATTAGTTTCTGAAAAGCCGTGCTGATAAGGGATAATTTGAGATAACGGGAAATATGGTCATGAATAATAAATTCAAATATTTTAGAAAAATTGCTCAGTAGGGATATAGGCCTACAGTTGTTAACAGAGGTGCTTTGCCTTTTCTGAGAACAGGAACAATTACTGCTTGCTTCCATAGGGAGGGAAAATCATGCTGAGATAAGCTTAGATTAAAGATATGTTTAAGAAAATATACAAATATATTGGTAAAACCCTTAATTATGAATCCAGGGATAAAGTCATCTCCAACAGATTTAGATGGTCTCAGGCGCTTAATGGCTTTCATAACATCAGAATCTGTAACAGACGCTAAAGGCAAGAATTCAAAAGATGACAAAAGATTGAGGAAGACAGTAGGATAATAATAATAATAATAATAATAATAATAATAATAATATCTCGCATACTTTTGCGCCTTCAATTGTCGTTTGAGTCCTGCCGGCGCGAGTGAAAGTTCGACAGCTTGTAGCTGTTTGTAGCACACACACACACACACACACACACACTTGCGCTCAAGTAGAGGAGCAAACAATTAACAGTACTTTCCATTTCGTACAATTCAGTTTTACAAAGCGGAGTATGACACGCTGTTGTTGCTATTGTTGCTGCAGGGTCAGGTGGCTCCGGTATATAATTTTTTTCTATTTCTTCTTCTTCATTCTGTTAGCTTCTCTTTGTCTTCTTCGTCAGTGCATTTTCTATTTCGTCATGCTTTTAGTCTATATTCATTATTTTGAAAAAAAAAAATTAAAGGAGGGCTTATGATATCATTATGCTGCCTGTGTGTCTGTACGTGTAGGAACCTATCATTGCTAGACAACGGGCCTGCAAAAATGTTTCCTCAGCAACGAATTCAAATGCAACAATAGAAGAATTGTTAGACGCGTTGTCTTCTACACGTTCCATGTCTTATCGAAAGAAGGTACGTTACTAGTTTTTTTTTATGCTAGTGGGATGGGACTAAGTCCCTTGTACTGCGGCCACTTCTGGCCTATTGTACCAGCCCCAGATGATAGGTGAGGGTGATTGTGGAGCAATTGATGGAATGATTGGCAGGGGAAACCGAAGTACTCGGAGAAAATCTGACCCAGCGCCATTTCTGTCCACCACAAATCCCATTTGATCAGACCCGGGATCGAACCCAGGCCGCTGCGGTGGGAAGCCAGCGACTAACCGCTTGAGCGATGGCGCGGCCCTATTACTTTTTCCAAAAACTTATTGCTCATTTTTCTTAATCTTCAGAATGATCAAATCTTTCATTATCATTAATGATTTGCATAACAACGCTTTCAGCAACTTAATGGTGCATAGCGCCGAACGTTAGAAAGAATTACAAATAATGGATTGGAAATTACGTGAAAGGACGCGGCCATGGTATAATTTAAGGCGCTATTCCGTTATTTGCTTAGAGAGTTTGAGGAAAAGGAATCCGTGATAGTGTTCCAGCTGAGATTCGAACCTGGCACCTTCACGATACAAGTCAGATACTGTTGTGGCGAAAACCCCTGCGGCCAGTTTATTATGGCGCAAGCCGGGGGTGAGGCACCCAAATTTCTTATTCTATTCCAACCGCTGTCAACGGGGTCTCTCTAGCGCCGGAGGGGTTGTACGAATTCTATTCTATTCGGCGTTCAAGAAGTGAATATTTACATCCTGTCTTCGAAAATTTGGAATCGGAATTTCTCGAAAAATCTTTAATGATTCTTATGTAATGCATAGAGACCGTCTACCCAAATAAAACTAAGTAGGCTATGTGGTATCTTCAGAAAAATAACGGCATGCCTCTAGCCGCTAAAATGCATATTTGAGAAAGCATATGCACTGATTATTTTATATCTTGTTGCATTACAATCACGGCCGGAGCGGCCATATCTTTAATAAGGGTTTTACATCACGCATCTCAAACTAGAAATCCAAAGATATTCACAGTGAGCGGAAGCCGGGATATCATAGTCGGTATAGTGACTGGCTACGGGCTGGACTGAAGGGTTGGAGTTCGAGTCACGGTAGGATCAAGGATTTTCTCTTCTCCATGTCTTCCAAACAGCCTCCGGGGAGCACCCAGACTGTCACTCAGCATCCTTTCCAATGGCTACAGGGGCTCTTCTCCCGGGGGTAAAAATGCTGGGGCGTGAAGCTGTCCATTTACCTCAAAATAGTGCCGAGGTAAAAAATATGGCTCTATACATCCACTTTCCCATACGCCTCTATGGCCTAGTGCTTAATTAGTTAAGGACAGGGACAATTTTACCTTTGCTCCCACTGAGCATAGAACACATTAGACGTGGCATCACGAAATATAGAACAGCGCTGAATATTCTGTGTGATTCCAGGGCAACAAGTCTAAAAGGAATCGCCTTCTCTTGTTCTGATGTCACAGAGAAAATTACTTCATGATTGTGTATGGTTCAGTTTACTATTTCTGTGTTTCGTTTATGTGCAACAACAGGAATATATTTATTGTTCTCATATCAACTGCTGGACCGATTATGTGAGAAATGAAGAAGTGTTATTTAGAGTCAGTGAACAGAGGAATATCCTACACGAAATAAGAAAACTGAAGGCTAATTGGATTGGTCATATCTTACACAGTAACTGCCTTCTAAAAGAAGTTATTGAAGAAAGATAGAGGGGCGGATAGAAGTGACCAGAAGACGAGGAAGGAGACGTAAGAAGATGCTGGATGACCTTGGGGACAGAAGAAGATATTCTCATTTGAAGGAGAAAGCTCTAGGTCGCATCAAGTGGAGGAACTGTTTTGGAAGAGACTGTGGACCTGTCGTCTTGACAGATTACTGATGAATGAATGAAACAGGAAATGATAAATAAAGACATCGAACAACTTTTGTCAGTATTAGATGTTTGAATTTACCGGCCTAATATTCGATTTTGTTTATTGAAAAGATAATAATCTTCAAATTAGTATTTTATTTTACAAGTTACGGAATGAGAAATTACGTCACTAAACAAAAGGTCTGAATAGTTTTTACTTTGTCACATTCTAAAAAAATCTGCCTTCCTCATAGTCCTTAAATAGTAGTTGACAATTATTCCGTTAGGGGTTATTTTAAACAGAGAAGAGGCTGTAAAAAGGTAAAAAAAATCTGACCGTTACCGAAAGCACGTTCAGGCAAGCATACATTGATTATACCTACATCTTCACCTTGCTCTCTATCAATAATAATGGCGAAAGTCTACCTAGTATTGTCTGCTTAAAACGTCTCGGAGCGTACGTCATATTTTGAGTAGCCAACACTGAGGAAGAAAGTCCTGAATGTCCAGCGACATCTCCGGTACGGCCTTTTGAGTACCTATCTTGTACTTGAAGTAGTACCTAGTAACTTTATGATGATGAGGTAACGATCTAGGTCACGACCTTGATGAAGCACCCTCAAGGTTATTCTAGACACAGATTAAAACTCCCTTTCTGTGTGTATATATAAATGTAAATCCATACAAACCGTAGACAACACTATGACCCTGGGGTCGACTCATGCTTTAAGAGAAATGAGTACCATGAATCTTCCTGACGGTTAAGGACGGCCGGTACAGAAAACTATTAACCTCACCGCCATCTATGAACCGGCTGTCTAGATAATGTGGGAGCCTCGACGTCTCACAACCTTACTGGCTTTCACGGCGTGTTACAGGGATAGCTTTACTTTTTATTATTTTATGTCCAAAAATCAGCAATTACAACAAAAACAAATGAGCAGCTGTACCCCGCTCCAACAGCGATATGACATTGCAACGAACGCTGTGTTTCTTCCTCAAATTATGGAAGTTTCGTTCACTGATTTTCAAAACTTTCCTCTGCAGGTTGGGTTCGGATGGCAAAGCGCCGTGCCCCTCGTTCCTGCGTTCCTGTCCACCCAGTAAGTACCGCAGAGTGGACGGCGCCTGCAACAACGTGCGTCACCCCGAATGGGGTACCGTCGGAGCCCCTTTCAAGCGTCTCCTACGTCCAGTCTACAGCGACGGTAAGGGCTGACAGTCTCAGTTCCGTTCTACAATACATACCTCTCTGTATGATAACATCGTGACGATAATTCTACGTGAGATTATGGAAACACAGTAAGCCTATAGAGAGCTGAATGCCCGGGGGGCAGCTGAATCTAACTACCAACAATAGTCTCTCTGAACAGCACTGCTTTCTGGAATATAATGCCGTGTAGTCCGTTGAAGTCAACATACGGTTCGGAGGAGAATGTCGTTTCCATCTTCAGGATCGAAGAATAAGTCAAGCAATAAGCCAACGTGAAATCAGGTGGCAATCAAGCTGGTTTCTTGTTTGGTTTATTCTTCGACCCTGAAGATGTAGGCGAGATGTTCCGTCGAAACGTCGGTTGACTTTCAACGGACTACACAGCGTTATACCCCAGAAGATGCAAGATTTCATAATCACCGCTGTGAGAATCTTCAATCCTAAATAGTCTCTCTGTCTTCAGTTGCAATTTTCATTTAAAAGAAAAATCATATGTGTAGGAGCTTCTTGAAACTTAGCATTTTTCAATGGTAGGTGTTGCAATTTTGGGGGCACGCGGTAGCATAGTTAGTTGAGGCACTATGCTACAAGCCGGAAGGTCGCAGGATCGAATCCCGATGAGGTGGATTTTTCAATATACCTAACCCTTGCAGCCGCACTATGGCCATGGGGTCGACTCAGCCTCTAACAGAAATGAGTACCAGGAATATTCTTGGGGGTAAAGGGCGGCCGGCGCGTAAGGCTGACAACCTTACCGCCATCTATGAGCCGATTATCTAGAAAATGTGGGAACCTCAACATCACACAACTCTATGGGATTCAACGAACCATAGAAATGACCCCCCCAGCAGATTACAGGTGTCAGGTCATTATACCTGATGGAACCCATGGAAATATCTTCGTGAATTAATTTAAATTTCTTTTAGTTTAATTAAGCCTTTGCCAATCACAGTGGCTGCGCGGTCTAAGGCATGAAATGTCTTCGTGCGCTCAACACTGGGATCGTGGGTTCGAATCCAACTCGAGGCATGGAGAGCTTTACTGTGTATGATCTGGATTAATTTTGATATTAATGTTGGAAGAGCTGCATTGGGATGCAACTTTGATTTCACATTAGGAGGGTTATACTCGTATTAGGGCGAAATTTTGAAGTTACCATTGGGAGGGCTGCGTGTGAAGCGAACAGTGAAACGTGGATTTGCGTAAAAAGTCAGCATTTGCTCTAGGACAAAGAAAAACGACCGAAAATCTTCAACAAATTGGCCGGTCGCGGAACCGTCCGGGTTCAAACTGACTTCTAGCGAACAGTCTGATGTTAAATGCAAGAACCCTAACGTCAGTCTCTATCTGTGCTGTTGCTTTGCATTGAAAAGTTCAAATATTTGTCTTGCAGAGTTTTTCTCTTCATGCGCGCACTTTGGATGAGCAACGAACAATTTTATTACGTAACATGTTCGAAAAGAATATATATCTACATGTTTGAGATCGTGTGATTATCGCGAATTTTGAACACCTGTGGAAGATGTTTCCTCATCAATTAACAAAGGATCTTGAACATCAGAAATTATGTAAATAAGAATTAAAATTACACATATTACCTCATAAGTAACACACTGTCTCCAAATGAAAGACCGACCTCTTAACAATGTTTGTAGACATAATGGTTATGTATTTTGTGGACGAAATATAGAGAGATTTATTGTTAAAGGAGATGGAATGTATAATTTTCATGTCACTTCAAAGGTTAGTTAAGTGTCGGTAACATCGTGGGGAACATAATGTCAAAGAGACGGTTATATATGTATTTTTAACTGAACAGGCTGCTGTGATGATGAATTTAAAGGAATATTTCTGTATCATAAACAAAACATGACACAAAAACAAAATTAAAACCAATCTGAGGCTATGCCGTCTTCATTTTCTGTCCTGAAGATACAAGCAAATATTCCTCCGAAACCTTAGTATCTGCCTACGACACTACACGGCTTTGCATTACAAAGGACCGTAAACTTAGAAGGTCCTTTAAACAACAGCAGCACGAAAACGGTTAGAGTCGTGTTAATCCGGCATCAGGTGTACAAGGTCATCGACTGCACGGATACTGAGATCATGGGTTTGAGTCTAGTTCGGGACGTAAATGTCTGTCCTTATTTGTCTGTGTTGGCGGGTGCTTGCTTTGTGATGACTCAATTCTTGAGAAAAGATTCCTAAACAATGTACGATAGATAACTCAACTAATTCCATGCAGATAATCCTATCTCGAGAAGCCGCCAGCTGTGCAGCTACTCAAGAATTCCTTCACATTTAGTGGGACCGGAATGTTCATTACCACATTCACAAAAGTCCTCCACTAGTCCATATCCTGAGCCAGATCAATCCAGTCCATACCACCCCATCTTATCTGCCTAAGATCCATTGTAGTATTATTCACCAATTAGCGTCTTGGTCTTGCTAGTGGTCTCTTTTCTTCTGGCTCTCACATCAATAACCCATAGGCATTCCTCTTCTCCCCCATGTTGTTCTCTCCAACCTCCTGTCACTTCATCTGTCTTGAGTCCAAAATTACTCTCCTCAGAACCCTATTCTCAACACCTACATACAGTCTGCGAACGTCCAAGAGATTGAACCTCTAAATAAAACAGAGTAAGAGGACAGACTAAGAAAATACGGCCTGGTCGCACACTAAAACTAAGGCTACTGAAATTAGCCTAAGATCACAGTACAGCTTTCGCCACTGAATATGTAACAAATTTATAATACTGACATTATTCGAGTTTCAGAACGATGCCTAATAAGTACCTCTCCATAGGAGCTGGGCAATGTGAACCACAAAGTCTAATATAGAACTCTTTTTGGTACTGTTTAAAAAAAGACACTAAAGTCTAACGAGATTCTTAGATGGTTTGGATTGACTAAACTAATGTGGGGGGGCACGCAGTAGCGTAGTTGGTTGGAGCACTTTGCTACAAGCTGGAAAGCCACGGCTTCAATTCCAGATGAGGTCGCTGGATTTTTCAATTTACCTAATCCTTCTAGCCTTATCATTGCCCTGGGATTGACACAACCTCTAACAGAAATAAGTACCAGGATTCTTCCTGGGAGTATAGGGCGGCCGGTACGTGAGTCTGACAAACCTCCCCGCCGCCTGTGAACCGATTGTCTAGAAAATGTGGGAGCCTCAAAATCTTAAAATCCCATGGGCCTCCACGGCCTGTTACAGGGAGAGCTTTGCCTTTACCTAAATTAATCTTGCTCTGTATATGGACAAGTGACAGATTTCTGTGAACACAGTAAAGAACCTTTATGTTTTTAAATGCTGTGAATTTATTGAGTGTCAGTAACACAGCAGCTCTTAGCATCCGAGGAGGACTCCGTGGTGTTTAACAACACTGCCAGCAATTCAGACTGTAGCGTCGAGTGATTGCATGATTAATCAATAATGAAATGGAAAAATGTAGAGGAAATGGGTAACGGCTATTTCGGGGTACTACCGCAGCGTTTGTCTGAAGGAACCTAAGAAGTCCACAGAAATGTTAGGATAACGGGTCTGCGGGCGGAGATTTGAAGAGTGAACCTCCAGATTATAAAGCAATCTTTCCACCCACTCTTTCACAGGATTCAGTGAAACTTTTATCAGAACTACACTTACGTATATTACACTTATGTGTACATGCGTGTTTCTTGTTTATTAGTGCTTGTAAGCAGAAACAGCTTGTATGACACAAGACTACTTTGCGCAAATGGTTGCCGTGATTTTCTGTATCCTGCTAAGACATGGAATATCAACCATAAATCTCACTGCAAAAAACTGTTTGAACAGAGGAAGTCGTAATCCCTGCCATTATATAAGAACATAAGAGCCCGGAGCAGCAAGCGGAAAGAAATTATTCAATTGTTACGTGGATATTCGCGCTATAAAATAATATAAACATGTACCGGGAGAGTTATATGACGCCTGAGGATCAATACAACTTTTTTCATGACTCTTGAACAATTTGCGCTCTTATAAGGACAAAATGGGAGCCGGTACAGCGACTGGCTACAAGCTGGACGACCTAGAGGTCAGAGCTCGAGTCCCGGTACTTACTTACTCATGGAGCTGAGCCCTACTGGAGCAGCCACCAATTCTACAGCTACTCAAGAATATCCCAGCATTTTATGGAACCCGAATGTTATTTACCGTATTCAAAAGAGCCCTCCACTGGTCCCTATCCTGAGCCAGAACAATCCAATCAATACCATCCCATACTATCTCTCGAAGATCCATTTTAATATTGTCCACCCACTTACGCCTTGGTCTTCCCAATGGTGTCCTTCCGTCTGGCTTCCCCATCAATATCCTACATGCATTCCTCGTCTCCCCATTCGTGCTACATGCCCTGCCCACCTCCTTGACTTGATCATTCTAATTATACTTGGAGAAGAGTACAAGTTATGAAGCTCCTCATTATGCAGTTTGATTTAGTCCCGGTAGGGTCAAGAATTTTCTTTTCTCCATGACGACCAGACCGGCTCTGGGGCCCACCCAACCTACTTTACAGTGGGTACTTGGGACCTTTTGGCCGGGACATGGAGCTGACTACTCGCCTCCAACTAGTGCCTGGGTCAAAAAAAAAAAGTGGATCTATATATCTACTCCCCCTGACGCTTAATTAGTTAGGTATAGGGACAACTATGCCTTTACCTTAAATACATCTACGTTGTCACCATTATTTTCTGTTGTCTCTATACTGAGGTTATCGTATTCCTCGCAAATAAGTATCTAATTTCTCTATAAATTATTCACTTACGCATGTCTGCCTTTTAATGAACCGTGTAAATATGACCACGTGGCAATTTACTTATGACTTAAACACATCAAATTTAGTTTTGAAATTTGTTTAAGAACCGAGATAACTCAGTCGGTATAGCAATGGTATACGGGCTTAGCGACCGGGGATCAATTCCCGACAGGGCAAGAGATTTTTCTCTACTCTGCAGTGTCTATACCGGCTT